GTGCTGGCCAGCCTCAGCGGTGGCGGCCAGCAGGACCAGCGCCAGGAGGAGGAGGAGGCCCCGGACCTGCATCCTGCCTAGGGAGGAAGGAGAGGGTGAGGTGGGTGAGGAGTCGGAGCCTGGCAGTGAGGTGGCAGCTGCACCCGTGTGTGTGTGTGAACACTCCCATGTCCTGCTCGTTGCATGTCCCCTGGAAAGCAAAGCAGCAAAGCAGCCCCCACCTGCACACTGGCAGCAGGGAAAAAGCCCCTACCCCCCTGTATTTCTCCATGGCTCCTTTCACCAGCACCCAACCTGCTGCTGCCCCACACCAGAGAGCCCTGGGGACAGAGTAGTGCAGCTGCTGTGGTATCCAGCTGCAGAAGAATCCAGAGCAGGGGAATCAAAAACCCCAGCCAAAACAAACCTGCTGTCATGAGGGGTCTGAGAGCTAAACCAGCGGATTAAATAAAATAAAAATGAAATTCCCCTACCAAGGGCGGGTGCTCGTTAAAGAGATGGAGCAGGAGAGCTGCACCCACTCCCAGCAGGAGTGCAGAGCCAGAGTCTCCAGTCTGGTGGCCTCTTCCCTGAACCTCAAAGCCTTTTAGGATTCTACCTCCAGCTGGGTGGTACCAGCCAGCAAACACACCACACCTGCCTCGGCTTCATGCCTGGCTTGGTGGGACCAGGATGTCCCATGCCTCAGAGGAGGTCAGTGCAGGGAAAAGCCCAGGGCTTGGTGCTTGCTCCCTGTCCCCAGGCCCCCCGAGCAGCGTGCTGTGCCAGAGAGCAGCTCCCCACATTATTCAGGCCCCAGTGCACTCACCTTTCATGCATCTGCCATGGCAAAGCTGCCGGCTTCGCTCCGCATTGAACTGTCACAGGGAATTACACAGCCCGGCTGGCTGGAGGCACAGCCCAGGGGCTGAGAGCTGTTTTCCCCCTCGCCCAGCCTGGCTGGGAGCCATCCCACCGGGGGAGGAGTCACGGGCACGCCTGTCCCACTTTCTGCAGCCGTTCACACATGGGGCATCTGACACCTGCAGCATTCACGGCATCCCCCCTGATTTCAGGTGCTCTGTAAACTTCTCCCACTTTTTGCTTGCAGAACGTTTCCCTGTGCTCCTGCACCCACCTCCCATCTCCATTCCAGCTCAGGTTCTGCAGACACAGCCTCTGAGCACCCGGGGCAGACAGTCCTGGCTGTTGTGCTCACCCCTGTCTCACCTTTTCACAGCACAGGTACCGTACACAAGGATGGGAGAGAGGGAGCTCTGAGGAGCAGCCCAGCTACGGCCCCAGGGTCTCCTGGCTCTGCTCCCGGGCTCTCCCTGGCACATCACATCCCCCAGGGAAAGGTCTGCAGGGGCCCTCAGCCGTGGGGCATCCTAAAGCATTCATAAGGGAAAGTGGCTTGTCCTAAAAACGACAATGGGGGTGCAGTTTTCCAGCTGATTTTCCACAGAGCCTGATCTTTTCTTTGCTGGTCAAACAAGAGCTGTTCCTGGTGTGGCTGCCAGTGCCTCCGGGCCTATTTGCACAGCCCAGCTCCTCCCGCATCCCAGCGGGGCTCTGGCTCCTCTCCTGCTCAGATCCCGGCTCCTCTCACACCACCGTTGGTCTCTCCCAGACACGGATGGCACCAGAGCCCGGCCACACCGTGGCAATCCCCCGTTTCCCACCCCCTCTATCTGCTCTGGGTTTGAATGATTGAGGATCAG